AAAACAAAAAAAAAAAAAAAAAACCCCCCCCCCCCCCCCCAACAAACCAAACTCAGGGAGGCTGAGAAACCAGAGGGAGCTCAGAAACATCGAGTTTGTAACAGAGAAATGAAAATCTGGAGGAGGATAAAGGTTTAGTAAGAATGTCAGCCCACTGATCTTGGCCAGGAATGTGTTGGACATGCAGTTGTTTAGATACAACCTCCCACAAACAAAGAAAACATCTAACTCCATCTGCTTTGTTCTTGCATGAAGTATAGGATTGTGAGCCAAATTTACAGCACTAAGATTGTCACAAAGAATTTGTGGAGCATTATGAGAGACAGAGAGCTCCTTGAGAAGAGTTTGGATCCAAATAATGTCAGCTGTGGCAACAGCTATACTTTTGTATTATGCTCCTGTGCTAGACCTAGAGACAACAGCTTGCTTCCTAGACCACCAAGAAATGAGATAGGGTCCTAGAAAAATAGCAGCTCCAAAGGTTGACTTTCTATCATCAGGATCATTTGCCCAATCTGCATCACAAAAACCTCTAATAGCAAGAGGTTGGTTAGGAGTAGCGGGATGTAGCATGAGATCACAGTGTAAAACACCTTTAAGGTATCTTAAGATATGTTTAATGGCAAGCCAACGAGTATCCAATGGGGAAGCCATGAATTGACAAAATTTATTCATAGCAAAGCTGAACTCCGAATGAGTGATAGTTACATATTGCAATGCTCCAACAACAGATCTGTAAAATGATGGATCCTGTAATAAATCAGTGCCATGTTTGGACACCTAGCAACTGAAAACCATGGGTGAAAAAATTGACTTGGATTCAAGCATATTTGTCTTTTGACCAACAAGTCTCTTATGTATTTTGTTCGAGTCATGAGAAGGGAACCAGTAGATAATTTGGGAACCTCAATACAAAGAAAATAGTCAAGTGTGCCAACTGCCAAGCTGTTTAAGAAAAAATAGAGTTCAACTAATTAATAATTTTCTGAACTAGTATAGATGAGCTGCCAGTGATGATGATATCATCCACATACACCAAAAAATATACAGTAGTGGATTTGCAGCTGTATACAGACAAAACTAAACTGCAGGAAAGTAGACCTGAGTCTTTCAAACTATTGGGGACCTGTTTAAGCCCATAAATTTCCCTACTCAGCTTACAAATCAAGGATTTATCAGCACACTCAAAGCCTTGTGGCTGGGACATGTAAACTTCTTCTTGAAGAAAGTCATTAAGAAACACATTAACATCAATGCAAATTTTGACAGGCTTAATGACTGGTGAAAATGTCTCATGAAAGTCAAAGCCAAATTGCTGATTAAAACCCTTGGCAAACCTGCCTTGCTTTGCATTTATTTATAGAGCCATCAACATTTTCCTTAACTCAAAATCCATCTGAAGCCAATGGGAAACCTATTAGGAGGTAAATAAACCAAACTCCAAGTGTTATTTTTCTGAAGAGCAGAAAATTCATCAGTCATGGCAGCAAACCAGTTGGGATCTTGGAGACACTTTATAGCTCAGCATGAACCAAGAGAAGAGTTGGATGAATTCTAGGCTGAACTAGCCATTTTGCCATTTTCTGATCTTGTCACACCATAGGATGAGTATTGGCAAGTCTGATTATTTCACCAGAGGGAACAAAGACTGTGTTTTGACAATTTTGTTGAGATGAATCAGATGAAGACTCAATACTGACACTAGGAACACATGAAGTGGAATTTGATACATGTGACTGATTAGGTTCAGGAGGGAATGTCTGACCAGAAGACAGATGATGAATTGGATATGGTGACCTGTGGAGGAATTAGGGGAATGGTGGTAGTTATAGGTGTAGTGGTGGTGGAAACAGATGAATTGGGTTAGTTAGGAAAAACAGATGAGTAAGGAAACCTTTGTTCATTAAAGATAACATCTTTTGATACAAAGATTTTTCCAGAGGGAGACATACATTTATATCCCTTGTGACTGGGTGAGTATCCCAGGAAAACAAGCTCGGTTGACCCAAAATCTAGTTTGTGAGGAATGAGGATCATAAAGCATGAGAAAGGGGAAGCATGCACACCTGAACACTTTTGGAGCACTATAATCAGGAGAGACATGAAATAAGGTGAAGTAAGGTGTAGAAAACTGTAGAGGAACAGAAGGCAATCTATTGATAAGATAGACTGCTATAATAAAGGCACGATCCCAAAAATGTAAGGGTAAATAGCCTTGGCTGAGTAAAGCTAAATCCATTTCTACTATATGCCTGTGTTTATGCTCTACAACACCATTTTGATGATCCGTATGAGGACAAGATAAGCGACAAATGATCCCCACTTCATGAAGATAATTAGTAAAAGCACGAAATTCACCACCCTAATCAGTTTGTAACATTTTGATGTGTTTGTCAAATTGTAATTCAGCCATAGCTTTGAATTGTTTGAAAGCAATGAAAGCATCGGATTTATTTTTAGTAAGTACAACTAGGTAAACCGAGAGTGTGCATCAAGAAAAGAAATATAATAGAGAAATTTGTTATTACATGCCACGGGAGCTGGCCCCCACAGGTCACTATATATCAATTTCAAAGGAGACTCATATTTAGTTTGAGATAATTGCAATGGTAAACAATGTGCTTTAGCTAAATAACATGTTGAACAGAAAGGAAGAACATCCTTATTAGGCATTTTTATATTACAATTTTGAAGTACAAGATGTAATACATTTGAGTTTGGATGCCCTAATCTAAGATGCCAAGTATAAGTAGTACTTTGAGTAACATTTAGGCTATAGTACAATCACTATATAACTATATTTTACAATTATTGACTATAGTAATGATGTTTATACGGAGAGAACTTTGAGTAACATTTAGGCTGGAAGACTTTGGTGATTGAGATGCAAACTAGGAAATTGGTAAAGTCCACGAGGACAAAAATACCCTTGTAGAAGAATCTCATTGGAATCCTGAGATTTGACAAAACAAAGATGAGCATGAAAATCAAAATAAAAACCATTGTCATGAGCGAATTTATTGACACTGATGAGACTTTTAGTAATATGAGGCACATGTAGAAGATCATGAAGAACCATTTTAACTTTAGAATCAAAAGTAGAACAAAACAAAGAGGAAGTAGAGGATGAAATATTCAGACATTTCCCATTACCAATGAAAATATGATCTGGACCTTCAAAGAGTGAGGTTTGCTTAATGTTCTGAGAACTGTTGGTAACATGATATGAAGCTCCTAAATCAAGGAACCAAGTGGATGCTGTTGTAGGATCTGTTTTGCAATCATGGATTGAGGTTTCTTGTTTCTATTAAATTGTTGTTGTGATTGCCATTGAGGAGGAGCATGATAGGGATTCAAACTGGACTGTTGAAAATTATTCCACTGAAATGGTGCAGGTTGGCACCATTGTTGGAACCAATTCAAACCAGGCATGTTTGATGCAGTAAAGGATTGAAACTAAGGATTGAACTTGTTATAGCACATGAGACGTGGCCATAACAAAAACAAACTTGGCACTAAAGTGAACTAAATCCACTGCAACCATGACCGTGGCCAAAACGTCCACCATGAAAACCACGATTGCTAGAACCTCTAAATTCAGTGTATGAGTGTGTTGTGATAGTTAGAGTTTCATCAGCCTGAGAAATCTCATTTGACAAATGATCACCATCACTTAGAGAAACTAGATCTGATTGAGTAAGGTTCACTAAAGGTGTAAATGAAGCAGAACTAGCTTTATTATACTTCTGAAGACACATCTGCTAAGCAAGAATGTGACCTTTTACTTCTTCAATGGTGATATAAGGTAGTCGACTTTCAACAAGAGCAATAACTGAATCATACTCTTTTGCAATTTGAAGCAAGATCACCTACCCAAGAAAGCGTTAATAAGAGCTTTAATGCAAAGAAGATACTCTTCAATGGTACCATTATCAAACGAGGAATGACAAAGCTCAGAACAAAGCTAATTGGCTTTAGTGCGAGTATGATGATGAAAATAGGTGTGGATTTTATCCCAAACCTCATAGAAGTGATTGGATCCAAGAATGCGCGGTAGCATAGAAGTCGAGAGAGACGATTGCAGCCATGTGAGAAGCCGTTGATCTTGCTTCTCCCAAATGCAATAGTCAGGGTTTATGCGATTCAAATCTCGGTCTTCTCCATAGAGAAATCACATGGGAATGCAAGGTGAAGTGACGAGTCGATGAAGATTGTGAGCCTTGATGACCAGTTCAATTTACTAACACCACAGCAAAAAAAAATTCTCATCAAGCTTTTCCGTGATTTGATGACAAAAGTGGTTGGAGCAGACACTGAAATGGTTTCTTCGTTCATGATAAAAGCCATGGAAGAGAATCAAGAAGCTCTAAATAACAAAATAGAGAGAAAATATATTTGTATTCTATTGTTGTTTGTGAAAAACACAAAGATGATTGAGCCTCTGTTTACAAGATATATTTATATAGAGGCTTGGGTTTAGAAGCATTGTAGTTGAAACAGTTACAACTAGCTAGAGTTACATGACTAAGTTTAAAACTAAACCAATACAGTAAAGAGTAATACACTCACAAATACCATGTCAAATGATCAACTCTTCTTAAAAATTGGGTTTAGGGTCTAACTCAACCTTACAAAATTGGCTAGTAAAGTAAGGACTATCCGATCCTTATAAGCACCATTTAAGTCATATATCTAGTCGATGTGAAATCTCAACTGCCTAAGAGCTACATCTAGAGACTTTACTTTATGACACTTAACCTTTTTTGGCCATACCTTCCATAGGTAGCCCTTTCTGACCTCGGAGTGACCAAAATTAAGGCAGCTTTCCAGCAACTCCCCTATCCTATAAATCTATTAGACAGAGGTCCATGATTGAACTTATATCTCAAGCACTAGGAACAAATAAAGTAGAACTAACAATCTAAATAAAATGATTGTATTCCAAAGTGGTTGAAATGGAAGCATAAATATTAACGTGGCGTGAAGTTTTCACATGTCATGTTGTAAATACCATTTACGAAAGAGGAATTCACCTGCAAAATGCATCCAATTGTGCAAGTAGAAGTTTATTAGACAGGTTTAATAATTCTCCTACATCTTTTGATGTGTTATAAAAGGTAAGCTCTGGGCCAACAGCCTGCAAAAAGATATTTAAGTCACATAGTAAGACATTATTTGAAAACGATACTCCTATTTACCACATGCATAAATCATACCATTACTTCTCGTCAAAATACAGTCTTGATGGAATATTTATATGAAAAGAACTGTATTATATGGCATGATGATAAAGTAAATGTCAAACAAACAACAAAAACCACCAATCCTTTTCTCACTAGGCGAGGTCAGAACATGGATGAAAAACACAACATTACGGGTAAAAAGTTTTATTGTTTTGCAAATTATATTAGAAACAAAACCAGACCTAACTCAATCCCAAAAGCTAGTTCAAGGGAGAATTTCCCAAGTATTATAATTTGTACTATGACCACATTTCTAGCCAACATAGAACACCTGAACACACACTTCACGCCAAAAAATGAATATTTAGAGTGTAAAATTTGCAAAACTAAACATCTATCGGTCATCCAGCATTAAGACCAGATAGGCTCTGATATCATAGAAATGGACCGAATCTAACTCACTCCCAAAAGCTACTTCAACAGAAGAGGATTGCCCAACTCTTGTAAGGAGCATTCTAGCCATAGTCCTCCTATAGCCAATGCAGAACATCTTTTAAAATTATAATCTTGACATCTAACAAACCAAAGATTCAACAACAGTTAAATCTTAACCCAAAGCATAATAAACGGAAGATTAAAATAAAAACAGCAGCTTGTAGACACACTTACAGATTAAATGTCAAGATGAACAATGTATCATGACAATATTGGGCTTGTTTGGGTAAACTTCTCCATAAACACTTTTAGGAGAGAAAAATAGCAAGGGAAAAATGAAATAAGTTTCTCCATAAGCTAGTTTGGACAAGCTCTCTACTATTACTTTCTCCAAAATCTTTTTTCTAACTTATGAAAAGGCTAGCTTTAATTTACAGAAAAACTTATTTTAATTTTTTCCCATTTTATTCTCGTAGAAATATTTCTGGAGAAGTTTATCCAAGCAAACTCTATAACTATTTACGTACCAAGGTTTCAACAAACACAATGCAATGAAATTAACTGAATTTTTGGAGAGGAAAAAAAAAGCGTAAAAGCTTATATGTAAAGGTTTATAGATTGCATTGTATTGACAAGGCATCTAGCCCCCTCAACCAAATTAAGATATTAATTCTCATTTAAAGAAAGAACGAAAGAAGTAGACTACTTTTATAAAATATCTATTGCTCTTATTTGCAACTTCCCTTTCTTTGGTATTTTTCCTTTTGCATGGATCTAATAAGCATTCAAGAAATTCCAGCAATACATTCTCTAACACACTTTTTCTAGAATAGTTTCTACTATTGGTTGAAGTTCATTGGAAACTATAAAATCATGAGTGAAACTCATTAAATAAGAGAGACCCACAAAATTTTATGATTTCCAATAAAATTCAACCAATAATAGTGTATTCAAAAGAGTGTGTTGCTAGCATTTCTCTAAGGGTGTGTTTGGAAAAGCTGTGAAAATTAAATATAATAAGATTATAATCATAATGAATTTTTGTTTGGATAAATTTGATGAAAAGCAATTTAGAGATATTTAATTTCATTTGGATACAACAAATGATCAGTTTTATGTAGTATATCAGCTTAAAAGGGAAAAAAAAACTGTTGAGAAATTATCATACTTCAAATTTTCAACTTCACAAAAACAACTTATTATTAAAAAAAAACTATCTGCAAATTTAGGCCATTGTCCCAAACATAGAACTTATTTTACAAACCGTTTTAAGCTAAAAATAAAAAATAAAAAAACAGCTGAAATGTAAGATTAAAGCTTTTCCCAAATATGCTATGAGTATTTATTTAAAAAGAGAAAGAAGTAACACAAATAAGGAAGAGGTTGGGATATTCTCTCCCTAAGCAAGTTGAAGTTTCTCTACAGTAATTTCGGTATAATGTGAATAACATGTCAAAGCCCCCCCTGAAAATATCAACCTTGGGTATTAAATTAGACTTTGTTCTTGACCATAGGCAACAATATGTCGGTAAAAATGAAACTTACAGCCCCAGAAATAACAATCAAAGCTACGCCTAGACAACTCTTCCACCATTTAGAATCAATCATAAATATACATCCATGACTAGTTAACTGAAGCAACAATTCACCTGAAGTTCAATGATCAATTCTGTGGAGTTGTTAACTGCATTATTCTGATGTGGTACTTCATCCACACTTCCTCTCAAAGACCTAGACCGAGGACTTTCAACTAATTCTTCCAAGTAGACATGATCATCCTCTGTAGCTGAATAGCTACTGTTTGCTCCAAGAAAAACACAAGAATCCAAATGTTGTCCGCCCTGCAAAAATAAAACCAAGGTAGTTAGTTTTTGGGCATCCACCAAAAATTTATATTCATAAAGTACTTCGATAAAGAAATTCATAGCATGGCGAGAGACTAAGACCTTAATAACAACATTTCTGAATTGCAACTTCTTCCCATTTCCAACGTATATTATAGCCTCCAAGCTAGCTGTTGTTAGATTAAAACCATGTCTATCTTTTAAATATAATATTCCACCATCACCATCATAAATGAAATGATCAAAATTATCATCATCAACTATTAAAGGTTTTTGAGGTGATAGGGAAAATTCAGCACAAGTCTGCTTGTAGACTGATTGATCCATGATGATAGCTTCCAGCGTGGGAGACCTATTTTCTTCAAATGATAGCATACTGCTGACTGTTGGAACGAAAAACTCAACTACAGCAAGAAGAAAATCAAGTGCAACAAGCAACTGAGGCCTCTGGACACACAAAGAAACAAATGTTGAATCCTGACCAAATTTCACGTCAACAATGAGCATTGTTTGAACTAGATCAAAATTATTTCCCTTAATTATGCTACTATCCACTGAGTCCTGTTTTTGATTGTATGAAGAAGTATTTAGAGGACTGGCTCCAACAATCTCGGGCTTTCCTATTGCTAACCGAAATTCTTGTTCAACTCCCTCACGATCATCAAACACACTGAAACCTTGTAGTGTTGCAGAGAGGAATCCATTTCCTGCTGTACTGGACTTATACAGCAGCCATGCACTGCTGACCTGCACAAGAGAGAACCATGAGCTGAGCACTGCAAAGTTTTTTTTTTTTTATTTGATTTCATCTTTGAAAACTGTAATTTGCTTTATTAGAGCAAATTAGTCCCTAGAGTTTCCACTAGAAAAAATGTTTTTATCCTAGTTTTTTGAAGCCAATTCCCTAACCATCGTTTATCAATATCACCAATGTTAATGAATTGACATTTATGTTATCAGAAACAAAAACCTTACAGAAGTATATTCTTCCTTAGAAGGGCCAGCCCAAAACTCTCTGTTGAGAAGAGAAAGCAAGAGACACAACTGAATTCGTGTGCCGATGTACACAATGGAGTGTATAATGTGGGTAATAATTAGAGAAAATAATTGTCTAATTACTATAATTATGTAAATCCTAATTACCATAATTAAGGATATCTAAATATGTCCACCAAATACCTAATTACCATAATTATAGATACCTACAAAATCTAGCACTCTCCAAACAGCCAAATATATTAGGACTCCAAAGCTATAAAGCTACCCTACAATGCAAAAAGGAAGTTCTTTGTTTCAAAACTATAATGGCAAATTAGCTAAATATCAGCATAATTACTTTATTATGAGGTATGTAGAACTGTAAAAAGTTGTTCAAGTTCAAATTCTAGAGAAATGACAAGAGGAGAGAAACAAAACTGAAGAATATGATTTTATGTTACTATGTGTTGTGTCTCCCATTCATAACTAATAACTTAAGTCAACTACTTGTGTAGAACAACCAGTACTAGCCCAATAACACACGCACACAAAATAAAACAAAAAGAGAAAAAAATATTAAAACAATAATAATCTCAATAATCTAGCACAAGTCATTATTTTTAATTCTATTAGCAATGTAGCTCAAACAATATGATTTAACCTTGGCTTCAGTCCTTCCAAACCCAACAAAATGCAAGGGGATTTACAAGTTAGAGATCCTGAATTCCATCCACAGAAACCAGCAATAATTGAAAAACAACATGAAACAGGGATGCCAGCAAAGATACCAAATCAGAAACCTCCCCAATTATTTAAGTTTAAAAAGAATGAAAATTTCAAGAAAGGGGACAAAATTCAATACAGAAGAGAGGGAAATAAACATGAAAAAGCTAAGCATCAGAAAAGGAATTAGGTACTAAAGAGGGGGGGTGGGGGTTGGAAGAAGTCCGAAAAAGAAGAATTCCACAGCTAGCCACATCTCCTCTTGAATAAAATTGTTTAACTATACTGCAGGAAGTGAAGAAAAACAAGGAATGTAACTATGAAAAAATAATCTTAGATGCCTTAGGTGTTAGCTTAAGGAGAATATTCAGCTTAGTCTATTATTAGAGTAAACTGAAAATGTAATTCATTGATTGAAATTCTTGACACAATATTCTGAGTCTCTGCTTACAATCCTATATATATTATAGAGTCTCAAGGAGGAGAGGTTGTAACTGTCTAACAGAGACAGTTACAAATAACTGACTTACTAACCAAACATACAGACTAACTATGGTTACAAAATAATACTCAGCAAAGGAGTTTAACACTCACACCTATAGTTGAGGAAAGTTAAAATTAAGCCAAAGTATCTGGATGCTGGAAAGGAGACTATGCTAAATGGGAATGCCAAGTTCTATTGATATCATACCTTGTTGTTCTTGACTGCATGTTCAGCAACTAATTGTATCGAATCAGGAGATACAGTAAGGAAAAAGCCAGAAATGTAGAAATACTTGGCCTTTTCAACTATTGAAATAACAAATGTCAGTCATCTAGATTATTCAGGTATATGAGATAGATAGAGAGCCTGAATATATCAAAAAGGTACCTAATGCCCAATTTTCTGGTCTCGTCAAATGCTCAGACTTGTAGCAATTTGCAGCTGATAAGTTGGCAACAAGTGACCTATATTTAGACGCAATCACATAGAATACTTCAAATAATTGTTTTTCGATCAAGTATATGTTATAAGCTGAAGAAGTATAATACTAACAAAGCATAAAATATAATTATTATCGAGTTCTATAATGAGTAGAATAAATAACTCAAGGAAAACTTGATCATCTGACCTTTCACCACCAACCACACAAACAGCACAAGTTCCCGTAGGTGTACTATCGATTTCATAATAGTGAACCTGATTGTTGAATGAATAAAGTCAATTTCAGAAATGGGATTCTAAGGTCAGGTACGGAGAAGTGAAAACACAAGATTAAACTTGCCTTTACACCATCAAGTGCACAACTCTTCTTCATCTCCTCCCCAAATTTGTCCTTTCCTATGCAACCTATGTAACTTGTGGAAACCACACACACACACACACACACACACACACACACACAATCCTAGCTCTTGGTCAAAGCGATAGAAACTCGCTCAAAGCATCTCGTAATTTGCTTGGAGTGAGCCCACACAGAGAGCTTCCATAGAAGTCTCAATTTAGATGCTTAATGCAATGCCACCCTCACTTTGAGAGAACAAAACTCACTCAAAGCGCCTCAAAATTCACTTAAGATAAGCAACGTCAAGGATCATCCCCTGAACCTCCAATTCCTTTGTTCTAAGTGAGTGAGTTCCTACTCTGAGTGACAAAATCTCTCTTGGAGCGATCATAATTCACTTCGAGCAAGACCAGGTCAGAGAGCACCTAGACTTGTTTTCCTAGCTCGCTTGGAGTGAGTAAGTTCTCACTCTACGTGAGCTTACTCAAAATCTGCATAAGCTTCAAAAACAACAACTCAATCCTCCCACTCTTAACTCCAAATTCATAAATATCTCTAAAAATCAACCACATGCAATGCGAAATTCAACAAACATGCATTATACATAACTCATTTATGATAATAAAAGCAACATGCAACTAGGGATTCAAGGAATCTTCATCTACACCTTCAACGTCCACCTGAAGAGCATTTCTACTTCCCAAATCATCATATCAGAACACCTCAAGTTTCCCTTACCTTGTGATGAAACGAGTCAAGAAGAGGTGAGGAGAAGACCAAACTCCAAATGACTTAGAATCCTTGGCTCCGAAGGCTTTGAATCACAAGCTCAACAAGAAGGATTGGCTATTAGAAAAGGAAAATGGAAATATCTCTTAGAATGAGGAAGAAAAGTTTTGAGATTATTAAAAGTACTCTCACCAGCTTTTCTCTAGGAATTCTAGACATGTGAACCTATGAGATCCTAGATTTTAGAAAGCCTTAAGTACCCTTCATGAGCTGACCCATCCTAGCTTAAACACAACTTAAACAACACCTTAAAACATGGATGTCACAATCTCCATGAAAATAGTTGTACCGGAAGATGATGTATATGTTTATGTTTTATAAACAATTTTTTTTTAAACTTAAATATTTTTAATCCACAAATTTGGGATATGTATTTTTTGTCTCTCAAATTTAAAATTTTTATTTTTACAGCCTGTAATTTCAAGAAATATTGTTTTAATCCTTCAAATTTAAAACTTATATTTTTAATCTCTAAAATATCAAAAATTTATTATTTTAATCCCATAATTTGTCATTGCCATAAGATTAATGACTAGATTTTTTTTAAAAAAAATTATACAGACTAAAATGATAAATTTTAATTTTTTATATTTTGGAGACTAAAAACGCAAGTTTTAAATTTGGGGACCAATTCAAACTAAAAACATAATTAAATAAATTTATTTATTTGTTATTTTTGAAGAATTTTCAAATATTATTGTCTTTACTCTATGTTTCTAATTAAGTATCCTTTTAGCTTATATTGAAGTTACCAAGAAAGTTATTAATTTTGCTGACTTAGACTTTGTTAATATATTTCCTATTTTATCCTTTTTAAATGATTTTTTTTTTCATAAAATTCTCCCAATTAACTGTCATTAGTTTCTTCTCTCACATTTAAAGCTTTCAATGATATCATTTTCTCTCTTCAAATACTACTAATTATTTACCTTCCACTAAAATATACTTAAAAGTTAAAAGATATTGATTAGAGTAGGCATCAAACTATTGGCTGAAATACAAATTTTTATGAAATAATTAGAGAATCCAGAGATATAATTGACAGAGAAAAAAATAATATTATCTAGAAATCTAAAAATGACATATAAGAAAGAAAAAAAATTAAAAAAAATATGACTCTTAAAAAGAAAAAGAGGTTGTATTTAAGTTCATCTTTCAACAATATAGTCAAACTTGAATTGATGGCCAACAATCATCATGCACATGTAATGATGTATTTCCAAATCAGCTACTTCTTTTTTAAACAGCTTAACTGTATCGCTTGACAAACATTTTAACTATGTTACGCAATCTATGTCATTACGATTTTTGCAGAATCATTTCTCTCTTGTAAGTTAGTGATGGCCTGGTGGGGATTGGAGGAGAATTTACATTGTCTAAAATTTGAACTCTGGTAGTGTTATTATAATTTTGATAGATAAAAAGAATACAATGTTGGTTTTAATTATTTTTTAAACCTTATATACATGTTAGGGTAGTTTGGACAAATTATTTTATAAGTACTTTTAAGAAAAATAAAATAAATAAACTTTTTTATAAGTTAAAATTAGTCTATACATAAATTAATTTGCAAAATTTTTCTTCTCAGTTTTCTCAAAATCCTTATTTTTTAACTAGTACATAAATTAATTCTAACTTAAAAAAATTTATTTTGATTTTTTTTCTTTTCTTTTTTTTAGAAGTGTTAAAATCTTAAGCGATTCCTACAATTGCATCTTTAAAAGAATCATGTCTGAATATGAAGTGACCTTCCCATAGACGTTATTTTCCTAATCGACTTAGGAAATATGGTTAAGCTTAAGACCAAGACATTGATTCGACCGAAATTTTGAATTGTCAGTTAAATTACCCCTTTGTCCTTTAAAATATAACTTTTTACAAAGGATAAATGGCAACAAATGATGTTTGAAGGAGTAATTAAAGACAAAATCTTTAAAAGAATCAAGTAAAGATAGAATTTTTTAGAAAACGATTTGATAACCAAAATTTTGAAAATAACTATCATGAAAATGCATGTTACTTTAACGAAATAAGTTAAGAGCTTTCGTAACATATTTGTAAAATAAACTCAATCAACACTTTCCATACAAAAACTTGCAATCTGCAATCCATAATCCAAATACTCGATCAACTGATCAACTCAACTGGTTCACACTTCACGCATAAATGAAACTAGAAGAGTCTCTTCCTAATCATAGGCGACGTTATAATCGTTCCACGGGAGTAAGCACACGTTTAATATTATATCTAAGAAAACAAGTGATAACACAACCAAAAAGGAAAAAGAAGAAAGTCGGGGACAACAAACAACAATGATAATAAAGATTCATGTGCCCTGATAGGACTACAAATACATCATAAAAAACAACTAAAATGGAAGTGACAACAAACAACAAAATGAGAATTGATGCCTTGATCGAACTTGAAATATATGAATTTATTCAAGTTTTTTCTCTCCTGCAACTCTTTCACCCTATTTTCCTTAGCTAGGGGATTTAAAAAATCCCACACTAGTTCGAGTGCGGCTATTAAAATCGCTCTCAATAATGATAAAAAATCATAACAGTAAGACGGAATCACTCAATGAAAATCAGGCTTCTCTGGGTACGTGCAGCCAGGCCTTTGGATGATGACATTGGCTGCATAACACCCAGCTCTCACGCATTCCTCAATGGGCTTACCCTTGATCAACTGTGAAAGAAACCCTCCGACAAACGCATCTCCTACAAAAAAACAAAAGAATAAAAGTACACAATCAATTTATCAAGTTTCTACAAACATTTAGAATATAGACAAAATCGGAATCTAGCTAGCCAATACCAAGATACAATATCTATTCCTAGCAACGCCTCAAGAATCATAAATAACATTATGGCCTTCTCATGTTGGTTGCATGACTATCATCTACTATTCAAAGCATTTAGCGGGGAGAGTACTTGAAGCTTTCGAAAAAAATCATAATTATTTTACTGGTATTGTAAGCAATAGATGATTTATAATATTTCTTAAAATCAAGACTTATTTTAGAATCATGTATTAAAAAACAGAGGACAGAAATTATAACTTGCACGCATTTTATGAGCACACCAAATTCCCATAAACTCAACTGCACATATAACTTGGTTTAATATTTAAACACTAAAAACAATAGGGCTGTATTGTACCTGCTCCATTCGTGTCAACTAATTTCTCTTTAGGTAATAGTATAACAGGGTACAACTTAACTTTCCCATCCTCAGCAACACAAACAGGATCTGCACCTTGTGTGATAACGGTAATCCTTTTGTGCGTTCCTGATGCCTTTGGCCACTGGGAAATCTTCAAAGCTATTTCCTCGACATTATCAGTCTGGTCAATATGAAAAGAGTCAAAATAGATAACAAATTAAAACTTGAAACCAAAAGTGCAACCCTACAGATCTGCTATGCAAAGATTACCTCCCAGCCATGAACTTTAGAAAATGTTCTTGCTTCAGTCTCATTTCCAAAAACGTAGTCCATATATCTGAATCCCGGAATGGATAGTAAGATCAACATGTAAATTTTTTCCTTATTTGAATTTAACAGAAAAGGATCCTTACGGCAAAAATTTCTCCTGTGCATCCTTGAAGAACTCACAGATAAAGGGAGCAGAAAGGTTCATCATGAAGAACTGCATACAGGAATAAAATACTTGATCTCCGAAACTGCTAGTAAAATGGGAATGCCAAGTTCTATTGATATCATACCTTGTTGTTCTTGACTGCATGTTCAGCAACTAATTGTATCGAATCAGGAGATACAGTAAGGAAAAAGCCAGAAATGTAGAAATACTTGGCCTTTTCAACTATTGAAATAACAAATGTCAGTCATCTTTTAATAGATATCTAATACGAGTAAAGATATACTCCAATATGCTGAAATTCAGGAAAACTGCATAAATTAGAATCAGCATCATTCATCTTGACTAAATTTCTAAAGCTGACTCCATTGAGCCTTCTAATTAAATTACTTATTTATCAAGACTTTCATATTTTCTTACCATATATATTGAAACACAAAAAGAAGTCAATTTTTAAACACTAGCATTCAACCATTTTTACCCAAATGAATTTCTTGAAATACTCGACATATCAAGAAATTATTTCATGAAATATTCTCCAGTAGTCAACTTAATCTTATACTGTATATTTTATTCCATAGAAATCTACAACTCATAAGAGAACACAATATTAACAACAACAAGCACTAGCAAGTTTGCTTAAAATTCTTTTTCCAGAAGAAAAGAAAAAACAATGCACATATATAACTTATCTTCTTGGAGTTATCAAATAAGATTCCACCAGAGGAAAGGAGAAAAAAGGAAAAATATTCTCTGTTGTAATTACAAAATATAAATTAGTAAAAAAGACAATGTACCTGTACAGTAGCCAGAGACGCATCTCTGGTTAACCCTGTATATAAGCTCAACTCAACAAGATTTATAGACACAGATAGTTTCAGCATAACAGAGGCTTCAACATTTGTTGTCTCTGAATCAACACCATTTGTAACCTCGGGCACAATATCTCCTGATGTATCATTTAATGTCATGGAGGAATATTGATCCAGTGAGGGAGGAATATGTGGGACCTCGGAAAAGTTAGAAACAGCACACTCAGTAATAATTTGATATTCTTTGTTTGACACTTCCGCTTTCAACTCTTCAATCTGTAGAACCACAACATCCAATAGAAGACACATGTAAAGATAGCAAGCTAACGAAATAACCAATTATACTAGTAGTGGAAAGTAAATGAAATAGCAACATTAATATTTGAAAGTGAGGCAATCCAACTTTCAGGAAACATTACATAAGAAAATGAAATATATTACCTTGATTATGACTTCAATACTAGGAAATTGGTGAGCTAAGTCTCGAAGTGACCGATGAATAATCACAGATAGCCCATTCACATCCTGAATTATGCTTTCTCCTATGTCTGATCCAGTTCCAACATTTAAGTTGATGTCTTCAACCTAAACCCCAGTAATCAGTCATCAGTCATTAGTCATATTAGAAAAAAATTATTTAAAATGTGGTACACAATAAGCCCCAAAAAACATAACATCAAAATGAAACATAAGGCAGGGAACACTTCAAGATCTTTTCTAACCAAGTTTCTATAACCTGCAAATCACTCATTATGTGCAACCAATCTCACCTCAACCATCAAAGTTTCCAAGTGCACTGCATTGATTTCACTTTTACTTCCACCAATCCACTGAAATGTGTTCTTCACAGTTATATGAACAATGTCAAGTTTCAAAAAACTGCATCAAAGAAATATCAACAACTGATGTTAAAGGAATTAAAACCACACTTGAGCCATTAGTTAACAGCTTTTGTTATTACATTGGGTTCCCTATTAACATCAACTATACAGCACACTATATCTGATGCAATATGAATATGAAACCTAGTATTTAAAGAAGGTTATAAGAGAAAGGGAAAACTAAATTATTAGGCTTACTCAAGGCTATCTGTCCTCTGTGGCATTAATATTATAGGCTTCTTGAGAGAAAGATCAAACTTCACAGCAGGTGATCCTTCGATTTCACTAGCTGCAAACCACTTCTCTGAATTTGTCACTTGATCTGTTACTTTTATGACGCTTTTTGGGCTATTTGGAACAAGGCCCATAAAATAGCCTACAACCTGCATGCATTTAGACTCGATAAATCCTTATGATTAATGTGCATAAAATACAAAAACCTTGACCCAGTCAGTAAAATACCTCTTGTATGAATCGATTCAGATAAACAATGCGCACTTCTGAAAGCTCACCAAAAAGACTAAAATCATAACCTTCATAGTCTTCATCATCGTTGCTAAATGATGTGAACTCCAACTACATGGTCATTCAGATATTCAACAATGAAATGAACACTATATCAAAACCAAACATTGAAGGTTATAAAGTCGAGGGTTATTATCTTTTTCCCTTTTATGTCTATTAATAAGAACAAAATGCAACGAGTTACTTGTAAAGATTTGATAACTAATAATAACTAAAACTATTTTAGCCTACTAACAAATCTAATAGAAATGTGGACCAAATCATACAAAATATTGATTACCAAAATACCACTTACTATAAACAAAGAAACATCGTCAGAAGAAAATAAAATCTTTTTTATTGGGATAAATCATAGAGGAAAGATTACAAAGAGGGTAAGATATCTTCCTAAACAGAAACTATAAAGTGAACTTGAAATGCTTAAAAATGCAACCAAACTGTCCAATCCATTTGCACATCAAAAAGGAAAAATACATTAAAAAGACTTCTGTTCACAAATCACCAGGGAGGCCATGTATATAATCCTATCTCTTAACTCGATAAAAGATCAAAACTCTCTTCCTGTCGCAGTCCAAATACTATAAAATGTTGAAATCTGATGCATTTCATTTATTTTTCAGCCTGGGTGGAGAAAACCAAATGCTGTATTTTTTAAGGGATGAACGTGAGATCTAAGAAACTTTTGATTGGAGCAAGGTGGCAAAGAACACAATGATGCTTCTGTTTTTGGATAGAAGAAACACTAAATAAAGAAAGGACAAGATAGAAAAGATGCAACTTAAGGAATCCTATTGAGGAAACTAATTAAAACTAATAAAAAGCAATCTACAAAACAGGGGTTGAAAAAAGGCTAAAACTAAATAAAACAATCAATATAGATGCCTGCGTAAATAAAGCCAATGAGATTTGCAAACCATCCAATAAGAAAGCAAGTAAATGATCTTCAGCAGATCATGACTTGGGAAAAACCTTGCTTTATAAATCTGAGCATTCCCTTTCAACCAAAGGCAACAAAGTACAGCAAACAATGACACTTCATGCATGGGTCACATTCTAAAATATAACATGGGAAGGTAGGAGAAAGTGGTACCTCCACAAAAGATCTACCCCCTGGATTTCTCATATCACATGCCCAGTAATATAAATGACTGCTAGGCAGGCTGTCATCACTTATTTTTAGATTCCCCAATGCTGCTTTAATACTAAACGAGGAAGGGAACACCTTGATGTCTGTAAGCAAACTCTCTTGTGACAAACAAGCAAGCTTGGTTTCATTTTCCTTCATCAAAAGGATTTGGGCCTGTTCCATTTTTAATGTCAGATTGAACATAACTCTGGATTTCCCTTTTCCAAGCAAACCTTTAACAGTATGTTCCTCAATGGTAGAAGCATGTAATTCATCTACATCTCTTGATACATCATTCTTCATTATGGCTGTTGAAGATCTATCACTAGAAGTTGCAAGGTTCTCATCCTCAATATTAATAGAATTAATAAATTCCATAATGGCTAGGATTGTTGGTCTACGGCAAAAAAATGTCAAGGTAGCCAGAGTCACTATCACCTGAAAAGGCATATATAAATTATTTGGTGAGAAAATAAAATAGAACTATAGGCAATTTGTTAAAACCCATCAACACCCACCTGCTTGTCTATATTCCTATACTGAGCAGAGTTCTGGTCAAAGATAATCACTTGAGCTTTAACAAAACTCTCCAATGTTTCATTGAGTTCAAGCTCCTTCCTACTAGAAGGAATGTCACCAGGAAGAAGTCCAGTAATGCGACTAAATTTTGGGAGTTCCAGAGACGAATAATTAAATTGGATCTCACTGGCAGAACTAGATGGGTATTTCAATGTACCTCCAGGAGATTGCATAGGATAATCAACACTGTCTACTAAAGTCTCAGGTGCCTCATAAAACTTATCATCAGTTTCAGTAGGGATCACCCCGCCACTTTCAACATCTTCTCTCATGTTATTATAGAATAACAAATTTTCATCAGCAGTCCCAATATATGATCTTGCCAAAAAACAAGGCTGAGACCATCTTTGACTACGGCAAACCAAATCTTCTATTTCCAAAGACTTCAAGATAGTGCCAATGAAAATGTTATTGTCTCTAATAGAAACCTCCACCTGTTTAAATATAAATGTCTCAAATGGGAAGATCAAAGCATTCAGTTAAGAAACAACAAACCAGCTATTTTACCTGACCACCTATTGCTCGAAATTCAAACAAACGCTTTTCTTCATTTAAAAGAACCTTCATTAAGCTCTGATCAGCCTACAGCAAGACACACATTTAGTTCATGTGGAAATTCAAATTTGAAACGAAAACAAGAAAAAGGCAACAGTTTAACCTGACAACTATAACTGAAGCAAATTTTTAACTCATCAAGAACGCCTGTTACAAACAATCTTTCAGCAATTCCTACATCAATCATTCCATGATTATCATGATCTGATTCAGTATCATCATGATCGGATGAGGTTTCAGATAGGCCGGAAATAGGAGCTGTATTCTGCACAAATTTCGTGTAATATCAACATTGAGTATTCAAATACTCTAGCAACATAATCTACTATGCTCAATCAAACAATGGTTGTAGACTTGTTTATTTTGAAGAAATGGTTACTTTTCTTTTTGCAGTTTCCAGAGAGTTGTAAGGAGAAAAAGACTATTCCCATGATTAATCCATTAAGAAAAATCCACTAAGAAATTATGAAAGCTATTTACCAAAGAAAATGAAAGCTTCACATAGTAACCCAAAAAACCAATGTGTGTGTGTGTGTGTGTAGAGCAGGAGGGGGGGG